GCACACATACCGAGATCTTACAAAGCAGCCACACAAGCCTAGGAGAGGATAGGGCTTCTTTAACCATGTTAAGAAAGATACTTTGTAGGTGTTCCTGCATTTTGCAAAGCACCTTTTCCAGAAAGATTTGCACTAATCAAAACAGGCCTTTTCTAGTCTGAAATTTAGCCAGAATATTTCCTTCATTCTCCGTTACCCCAATACTCCTCTAAGTTCCCCAAGGTAAAACTTAGCAAACAGTTGTTTATACTATATTACAAGCAGTAGAATATATTACATGTATTACATAACCTCCTCCGGCATGTATTCAAATGAATTAAAAGGAACCTTTGAATAGATGGGTAGACTGGAAGCCATACTCATGGTTCAACCAAACACAGAATTATTTTGCTAATTTGCAGGTCAAAATAAACATTCTTCCCTCCTTGATATTTGTTAAAAAATTGAAGGTATTGGAAAGATCCAACTGAGAAATCATACAAGCACATCTGCATGTGCCACACACAGTTTTGCTTAGTATTTTCCTGATTATAAGTTATAATATGAGCTTCAATCAATTTCTGAAAGCCAACCACTGAAAAAAATATGTTTTATTTTAGTACATCAATACATATTCTGTCTCTATATGAAGAGCTCTGTTATTTCAAATTGCTGATCCATTTCATTTTCTGCATCCCCCAAAATAGTTTAAGATTATGATCCCGTGAACAGCTGGGGCAAGATCTATTACAAACAACAGCATTTATTTTTTAGCAGTTTTTTTAGATTTATACAGTATAGGACAGCACTACAAAAAAGTCTCCTCAACTTACAACAGTTCATTTACTGTTTGAATTTACAACGGCTCTGAAAAACATGACTTATGACCGTTTTTCACACTTACAACTGTTGCAGCCTCCCTACGGTCATGTGATCAAGATTCCAATGCTTAGCTCACATTTATGATGGTTGCAACGTCCTGGGGTCATGTGATCCCCTTTTGTGACCTTCTGACGAGCAAAGTCAATGAGGAAGCCAGATTCACTTAACAACTATGTTGCTAAAGTAACAACTGAAATGCGTCACTTAACAACTGTGGCAATAAAGGTCATAAATTGGGGCAAAATTCATTTATCAACAGTCTCCCTTAGCAATAGAAATTTTGGGCTCCACTATGGTCGTACGTCGAGGACTGCTTTGACTACTGTTGATAAAGACACTTTTGTGAAGCCAGCTACCTTTTAAAGAACAATTTCGCATATTAACATGCGGAAGTGCTAAAGAAGGAAATGCCAGAGATCTTTCTACATAACAGACAGCCCACAAAGTTGATCCAATAGAAACTGCTGATATACTCCATAAAACGGAGATTTGCTCCATTCATTGGTGTTAAGGATAGTATCTCTTTTGATATATCTGCTGGGTAAATCTCTTCCAGACTGTGCTTTAAAATCATTTTACATCAGATATAAATGAGAATGATGCTCCTACAGTTAATTCTTCAACAGGAAAGATAATTTTAGTATATATAGGAAGGATAATTTACAGAAAAATTAGAAAAGGTGATTTACAATAGGCAGGGAATATGACCATAGCACCTGTCTGCAATTCTTTATAGCGGTTGCATCCATTGCTTTCATTTATTTGCAGATGACTGAGGGAAAATTCAAAGGCCAGTGAAATACTCTAAAACTAAATGTTTCCTTTTCTTCTGTTTTTTTTTTTAAATGTACTGTTGTTAAAATCATTTTCTTCTACTTAAGAAATTTTGAGAAAAATATTTTTTAAAAAATGAGGCTACTACTTTTCAGAAAATTTCAGAATTTCTGGAATAATAAAACTAGAATATTACTTTGTGTAAAACTGGTCCAGGGAAGCCAATTAAAACATGAATCTGCCTCACTATCAATTCCAGTGATTTCTGAGCAAAGAAAAGCTTACAGTGAACTTTAGGCTATATATATATATATATTTATATATTTGATATATATATATTTGATTTATATGCCATCCTTCTCCGGAGACTCAGGGCGGCTTACAATGCATTAAGCAATAGCCTTCATACTTTTGTATATTTATACAAAGTCAGCTTATTGCCCCCACAAACTGGGTCCTCAATTTACCTACCTTAGAAAGGATGGAAGGCTGAATCAACCTTGAGCCTGGTGAGATTCGAACTTACAGTAATTGCAGACAGCTGGTGTTAATCACAATGCTATCAGTCTGCTGAGCCACTAGGCCCTTGTATATGATCTAATGATCAGGGACAACCAAAACTATCAAAAAGCTGTAACATATAAGGAGTAGGGGAGGGAGGCAGCAGTAATTTGGGTCCTGTAGATTAGGAAATTTAACACTTTCAATCCAAATCATTTCTGCTACAGTCTAGATACTGTTTTCATCAAATGTATTAATTCGAGAATCTGCCGCCACAATCTGAACTGACAGCTGCTGCCAGAGATGGCTTTAAATGGAGATAATAAATTGTTGACAAACTTCTTAACTGAAATAGCAAAGTAGAACTTTCACTATCATTGGCATAATACTCCAAAATGTCAATTACTAAGGTGTCTGAAGAGAAACTTTTTGCCTTCTGTGTGTAAGCAAGACACAGGAAGCCAAATGACGGAATTTTGGTAAGGTCTAGCAAGCTCAGTCCAGGGTTGAATTCATTTTCTTGTTCTGTAGAATTCCCCTTGGAATCTGCTACCTTCAGACTCTTTCCTTGTCCAGATCTGAAGTCTTGCTTCCCTCCCCCCAAAGTCTTATTTTATCTAATCAAAGATAAAATTGAAACATCTCCCTTTGACACTAGCTAGCTGCCCAAGAAATCTGTTCTCTTTAAGGAGGGAGGAGACAATGCTAAAGTTATACTTGACAAAACCCAAACAAACATTCAACCTAAGCAAAAGCAATGGTTTTTCTAGTGAGAGCACAAAGTGTTACATTTCTTTGACTGCATTTCTTTTGACACTGGCCTTTTTTGGACTTCGGACAGACCCTTCAGGCGGAATCAAAATGTTTAAGGCGCAAAACTTCCCAAGATCTGAAGTTATATTGAAAGGGCAGAGAAATTGTCCTTAATTGCACCATCCTATGTATACTGCAGTGGAAACAATCTCTTTTTGATTAATGGGCTTACTTCCAGTTAACTGTGTACTAGATTGCAGCCCGAAGGAGCAAATCTGGGACTAAGCCCCACTGAAATGAACTAAATTGATTGCTGCGGAAACCAATTTAGAATTCTAGAGTAAGAGAGCAACTGAATCCTCATATACTTGGGGTTAAGCTGTAGTAAAAACAAAGCCACACTCACAGCAACATTTAAATCTCCCAATTAACCTCCCAAACATTGGAAAGTAGGCTTCACTGAGATGAGTATCAGCACAAAAGAAAGTCTTCCAATAATTGCATAAAACAATTGCAGGAAAATGGCAAATAAGAAAACAGGAAGTGGCAACACTTTATGAATATAGACAAACATAATTGTCCCAAGATAATTTTGCAAGGTCCAATCTGAATCGGTCACTGGGACCAGAGCTTTTGGACTTGTGCTGGAGCCCATCCTCAAGGAACCGAGGACTCAGATTGGACCCTGCAACATTTTATTACGCTGATCAATTTATCCTCTTTTTTTTTTATTAGTAAGAAAGAAACTACAGGCAGCTTTTTACAATATAGAATCTAACCCTACAAATCTCAAACACATCCCATCAACAGTTAAATCCATCTGAAAGCCACAGAACTTATCTGTAACTAGTGAGGCCAAGATCACAGTTTGTATTATGTATTTGTATTTGTCAATAAGCACAAAACATTGCCCTACTGCACTGAATACTAAAAATAGTTTATTTATTTACTACAAAATAGTAAAATATTTTTAAAAAAGCTTCTTTGCATATATTTTTGCAATTCTTAAGCAGTGGAGAAATGTTTACGTTGACAGAGGTTGACAGATAGAGGTTGAAGAAAACATTTTAAAGGAAAGAAAATGTAGGATACCCATTTTATTAATACCAAACACCAATAACAAATACACTGTATATTAAAGAATTTTTATTGATATATTTCCTGATATCCAACTATAATAGTCCCTACTTCCCCAATGCAACAAAATAAGTTTTCATTAAAACATCCCCCCCCCCACTTCCAATGTAGGCAGGGTACTAAAATGTACTCTTCCCATGTGCCTATGTGCCGCAATTTTACAAAATAGGCACATTAGAAATAGCTCATTTCTAATCCATGGTCACTAGACCAGTTCATGAACACAAAGTTTGCTTTAAAATAATCTCTACACTAATTTACTGTTTAAAGGTAGAATAAAAGTGAAGATTCAGAATTCAGTTCAAACTCCTCTGCTTCAAATTCAGGGGGATTTACTGTGGGATGAACCTGATTAATAGAAACTTCAATCTCTACACACACAAATACAGGATTTTCAGAGCTGACTGCTTGCAACCAAGTTGAATCTCTGGCAAGAGGGAGGGAGGGAGGGAGGGAGGGAGGGAGATGTACTGATGAAATCTCTAACCCTCAAATTTATCTGGAAGTATGTAGAGCGTGGTATCTACTAGGTACACATTTATAACGCTTAAGGTACGTTGGGGCAAATTCTACTTTGGGAGCAAAACCCTCACTTTGCCATAGGAGAGTTTTTTTAAAAAAAAATTAGTCAAGGAACAGATCCCTTAACTGAGCCATTTCTGATCAATTGTTTTTTAATAACTTTAGTACAGTAGCAGAGTAGAAACAATAATAATACTACTATAAATTTGCTAATTTGCTTTACATGTGTGCTCTGGGGTGATAGGAGACCCCACCCCCCCAGCTTAAGCAAGCATGTATTGCAGCATTGCAAGGCAAAGGAGGTATTGCCTAAAAGGCCACAATTCCTTTTAATGGAACCTATCATGTTAAAAGTTTTGAAGATGTTAAAGAAAGATGTTAATTTCAGTCTTGAAAAACGATCACGAAGACACAATGTAAGAATTTAGGAATGGCAGGGGAAGTGTACTCACCAAAGGTGACATAGATCCATTTGGCAGGTAAGGATCAGACAGCATGAGGAAAGGGTATCCAGAATAAGGAGATCCTTTATACATCCCTGGGTCCTGGTGTTTTAAACCTGTTAAAATTCAAGTGCCTGGTTAGGATTTTGTCTCAGAACCGATCTCCCCTCCAGTCCACATACATTTTGTTGCATTATTTGTGCTCGCTAGTATCTGTGAGGTTCACCTGACATTCAGCTCCCCATTACTGCCACACACGAGCCTTAGAGTTTGCAATTTATCTGGTGGTAAAAAGTAAGCCAGGAATGAAAGGACCACTTCCCAGAATGAAAGCAGTGTGCAGATGTGCTCATTTCTCCACCTTGGTTAAACTGGTGCTCTTGCTTAATAAGGAATGGGATGCATTCCGTCCCAGGTAGTTGTACCTGCTCCCTACCTCTTCCCTAAACTTCCACTAGTTTTTTTTTCCCCCACCCCTGCAAGAAGCTCACTGTGCCAAGAGTACCCAGGCCAACTTTACCTCCCGCGATGCAATGAGGGGGAAAATAGGTTGTGTTGGTGTGCGTGTGTGCATGCAAAAGGTGTGTGTGCGTGGAGGGCAGGATGACAGCCTACGGAGAAGCACCTTTATGTTAAGTTTCAGTCGCCCTGCACCCGGGAGCCCCGCAGGTCAGGGCTTTCACGAGCGGTGCGGAGTGCCTCTCCGGCGCGGTAGCGCGAGGCGTTTGCCCGCTTTGATTTAGCAGCGAGGCATTGACGTTTCCCCCGCGGACCACGAGGGCTGCCAAACCTTCCCCCTTCTCTCCCCTCCCCTCGGCGGTCGAGCTCCCTCCCTTGAGGCACGGAGGGGAGAGGAAAAGGTGGGCGGCGGGGAGAGGAGACGAGCGAAGAGGAGGAGGAGGAGGAGAAGAAGAAGAGCGGGTGGCTTTGTCCTCCCCCTTCGAAACTGACCATCATCCATGTGATCCGGGAGTTTCTCTGGATAGACCCTCTGGGGTTCTTGCAGCCGCCGGATTGCCTGCAAAAGGCGAGGAGAGAGAAAGGGATGAAGGTCGATCATCATCATCATCATCATCATCATCATCATCATCATCATCATTATTTAATCTTTAGTGAGATTCACAGCCTTTGAGGCTGGTTAATAGCTCAGCAGCTCGAGTCCTAACCAAGGACCTAGGAACTGTTAAGGTATTATTATTATTATTATTATTATTATTATTATTATTATTATTATTATTATTATTATTAAAGTTTGGCATTAGAAGAGAAAGTGATCTAGAGATCTAAGTGATCTCACCTCGGGATGGGCTCCTGCGGCGCTGGCTCCGGCCACGGTTGCTGCTGGGTTGGACGCCTGACGGTTGCTGCCTCCGCCGCCGCTTTCCGACTCATTCACCAGGGATGATTTGAGGTCAGCCAGGTCCCCCTCGGTGAAGACGTTGGCCTGGATCTTCTCCTCCTGCTCCCCTTCGTCCTTAAAGGCGATCATCTCGTCGTTGGCTCCCAGGTCATCGCCCCCGCCGCTGAGCTGGGGCATTTTCTTCCCGAGCCAAGCCAGGGAAAGAGCGAATTTTGGGCGTCGGAGAGGCGCCGGGCAAGGAGAGCGGCGCACTCCGCTTCCCTTCTTTCTTTTCCTTCCTTGAAAGAGGAGGCAAAACGTTCGGCGACCTCCTTTGAGCGGTATCCCGGCACTCCGACTCTCGCCGGGGCTCTAGCCTAAGGGGGAAGGAGAGGGACGGTGGCGGCGGGGGGGGAACTGTTCTTGACGATCCAAGGCAGGAAAAGCAACCGGAGGGGTCGAGGCAGCGATCCAAACCGCTTCCACCCACCCCCCACCCCTCCGCGGTCTTGGGTGCCCCTCCCTCCCCGGCCAGCCCCGGGAAAGTTTGATTAAGTAGCAGCCGGCCGGCCGGCCAGCCAGCTAACTAGCCTAGCTTGGATGAGAAAGCTGGAGCAGCAGCAGAGCAGCAGCACCGGCGGCTTTCGCTGGGAAGAAGGAGAAAAATAATAATAATAATAATAATAAAAAAAAATAACAACCACCCCGAGCAGCAGCCGAGCTAGCGCTGTTAAAAGTGCGCGACTCTGGAAGAACACTGGAGAGCCGCCTAGCCAAAAGACTTTCAACATCAAAGCCGCCGCCGGCTGATTGACAGCGGCGGGGAGGGATTGGAAGACTCTGTTCTCCCGCGACGCGCTTCAGCCTTAAAGAGACAGCGCCCGTCTCCTCCCGTACGGCTGCAGGGGATGCTCGCGACGGGCAATTGAGAACCGGCGCTCTCGCCTCCGTGGGATAAAAGGCGGCAGCGGGCGGAAAGCCGGTCCCCCAAATCTTCCTCAGGGGCGGAATGCAATCTTCCTCGGCGAGGAAGAAGAAGAACAGGAAGAAGAAGGGGGGGGAAGGCAGCGAGTTTTCCCCTCTTCCTGACGAAAGTTGATCCCCTCCGATGGATTTGGCGCACTTACACGTGTCGGTGCGCAAAGTAATACGCAGACGCCGCCGTCCCGTGCGCAGGCAGGGCAAGAGGAGGGGAGCGAACAATGGGGGTTTGGCTCCGGCGTTGCTCCCTTCTACTGCAACCCCCCCCCCCACCTTCACACCCTTCCCGACCTGGTTGCCTCCAGATGGCTCGGACAGCTCGCAGAATTCCCAGTCAGCTCGTCTCACCAGGGTGACTGGGGATTATGGGAGATGTCGTCCAACACGTCGGGAAGAAAAGCAGGTTGGGAAGCCTGTTTTAATGCAACACCATTAATCTTTAGGCAATTGCCTTAAAGAAGGAGACGGTGTGTTTTTTTTTTTTAATTATTATTAATGCTCTATTCATCTTAATATTCACTTTAAAAAAAAAACATCATTTGGGAACATACAGCTGTTAAATTTATGGAACCATTCCTACGTCAAACATCACAATTTGTCCGTCTGTCTGTCTCTCCCTCTCTCCATGAGATCACGGTGGGGTTTCTTTCTGAGTAAAGGGTATTGATTGTTGTAAGGGTCTGATCCCATAGCCATTTATTTGGAAATCATCTCAGGGGAATGGAATCCGGATGGGTGCACTTATCAAACCAAACCATGATTTGTTTAACCATTGTTACATAAAATAGTTGACTAGATTAATGCAACAGGCTAAATAGAAAAAAAAACCCATGTTATGGCTCCAATTAACCACACTATTTCCTAGTGAATTCATATGAATTACAACTATTTCTGTATCACTCTTATGTGAAATAAAATCAGGTCTTTCTGACATCCAGTCACCCAAAATTGCAGCGCTGCTGTTTACAGCTGTTGTTCTAGCGAGACATGCCTGTCTTCCCCACAGAACCTAGACACAATTTTCTTAATTTTAATGGCACCAAGTTTTAAATAAGCAAGGGTTAGATTACAGCCTTAATTGCCCTTATTTTATTGTATTTTATTTTCTTAATGAATGGGCAGGACTATTTTTTAAATTAAACTTGGGGTTTAGACTAAACCCAAACTAGTCAAACAACATGAAGCATCAGCAGTGAGGTTTTTTTTTTATTATTATTATTAATAAAGACTCAGCTTTTTCAGCTGTGCCTGCAACTCTAGCCACATTTTTTTGGCACATTGAACCAATGGACTGACTTCTGAGTAAATCAAGTGTGAGCTGTATTTCTGATATTTACCCCCTGCCGGCTACCCTCCTTTTTGGTCTTATTGACTCCAAAGAAGCTCAACTAACTTGGGCCCAAGAGATGCCCATTTATGTTTGGGGTGAGGCTGTTTTGCGCTATGAATGGGCAAAGCCCTTCTTTCTCTTTTTGTGCCTGACAAGTGGTCATATACAGTGCTAAAAGCTTTTATCTATGTCTGATGGGGTTTCCAGGTTCCCGAAACCCTCAACCTCCCCCCCCAAAAAATCAGGGAACTCCTCTGTTTTCTCCTCATTTTTTTTTTCTTTTCTTTTCTCAATTTCTCCTCCTCTGGTATTGGTGATCCATCCTGGAATAAAGACAAGTAACACTGGATCTCAGATAATCATTACTTTTCCTTACGTGCCCGGAGGGTAAGGAAACATGAAATGAGCAACTTTTCAGCCGGTTTTCAAACCACTTAAAGCGGGGGTGTCGTCCAGAGGCGGGGTGGGGAGTGAATTTAGGCGACAAATTTTTCATTCGGGGTCCTCCTCAAAGTCCCTGTTACTCACGAGACAGTTCTGAGACGATATTTTCCAACCAGGCGCTCGCAATTCTTGAACACAAAAGTTAATGAATCGTAAAAAAAAAAAAAAAAAAAAAAAAAAAACACACACTCCGACAAGACTCCCGCTCCTTTTCATAGCGGGACAGCTGCGGGTCTTTGCAAAACCTTCCATCTGGTCGGGGATTTGAACAATTCCACGTAAAGAGGTCTTCATACTCTCCGCATGGCACATAATTGTTACTTTCAACACCTCAATTATCTCCAGCGCTTCCCTCTCCTTTAAAGGTCGTGTTCTGCTATTGAAAAGATTTATTTTTCGGCAGCTCAAAAGCAAACCCACCCTTCCACTAAAAAAGGGAGAAGGAACAACCTTTCCAGCAGATGTGTGACTTCTCAGGGCACGCTTAGATCCCTATCTTCAATCTCTCTCTCTCTCTCTCCCCCACTCTTCTCCCTCCCTCTCCCTCTCTCTCTCTCTCTCCCTCCCTCCCTCCCTCCCTCTCTCTCTCTCTCTCTCTCTCTCCATGAAGCAAGTAAGCTAAGTAAAGGATGGAGACAGAGACTCCTCCATCTCTCAGGCGCACACACCCCTGAAAGACCGAAAACAGTCGTGCGGAGCTTTCCTGGATCTCCCCACCACCACACAAACACGTGCCGCTCTCTAAAGGTCCGAAGTACCTTCTGAAACAAACCCTCACTAGATTAAACATCAGCCCGGGTCGCCCCTCTGCTTTTCTGCCCTGTTCTGCTTCTAAGCAAAACGCGAAAAGCGAGGAGGGAGGGAAAAGCACGAAGCAGATTTGTTGCTTCCAGTTTTCCTTTTCTTGTCTTTTTTCCCCCCTCGTGTTTTGAGACTCTCCCGCTTTGCATGTGAAAGGCAAGCGAGCGAGCGAAATAGCCTGCGATTTACAGCCCTCCCAAATGGAGATAAAACCTTGGCAATGAGTTGGAAACCTGTTGTAATCTGTGATCCAGGAAACAAAGAGGCTCATTAATGCAGAGTCTTTGGTGAGCCTTTGATGTTAGCTAGCATAGCATTCACTCTCCTTTCCATTTGCATTTAAACATTCATAAACATCGTTTCTGCTTCCTTTGCCTTAAGCAATTTAGAAGTAAAGTATAGCTTTCTATTTAAAGAAACCCACAGTGGTGAAGCTGAGAATACGAATATCACATAATCTTCCAACAGAGCAAATATTTTCTCCTGCATTTCTGGTGGACGGAGATCTAATACAGACTCAAGATTTAAGGAACACAGATGGTTAACTCAAGTTTAAGTTGACGTAAAGAGAAAGAGGTCTGGATAACTTTCTTAAGGTGAACTTCATCTATTAGCTGATTTTGCTACATGTGGAAATTTTACAATTAGATCCCTCAGCAGAACAGTCATAATTAATCCACACTCTTGTTCCCCTTTTATTTCTTCAGTTTGAAAGGGCTTGGATTACAAAATATTTGTGCTGACTCATGATTCAGGAAAAAAGAGACTGGCTGACCATCAACAATGAAAATAATAATTAAAAATGTTCCCTAAAACTTTAATTCCCAATTCATCTGGACATGGCCAGCAGGTTGAGTGCTGTACTATAGCCAATGTATATAAGTGACACAACATGCCTGGAAGTTGCATAAAAAGACATCCGCTAGGATGGGTATCAATTGGAGGAAGAGATATGGTCCATAAATACCCCAATGCTGGGTTCTTGCACAAGTTGTTGCCTATATGCTTTGGGAGATCTGCAGTTCTATCACGACCCTATACTGCTTCATATAGAAAAACCGCCCACCAAATTCAAGAGGATTTATATTTAAATATGTGTGGTTTACAGAAGAGTAAGGCCTTTGTTTTTAGCCATAATGCAGCCTGAATAAACATGCAGGGATTTGTACTGCCTGTCATTATTGTCTCTAATTGTTGAGCTATATTCTGCTATATCAAGAAACTTGGCAGTCTTTTTGGCAAATCACAATGGAATAGAACACAGTAGAAGGAAGGCTGTCATTGTTATTATCTTGGAACCTGAATTCTACATCTGGGATTTTTTTTTTTAATGTAACCTCATAACTGATGCTCAACCAAGGTAAAGAATCTAATACATATTAGTATCTTGCTAGCCTCAAAAAGGTAAATTCAACTTCAGTGGGTTAGAATTTGGAAGAATGGCCTGCAGGAAATTTTAGGCTGTGATTGAGAGGAAGAGGGATAAATAAATAGATGGAAAAATTAAATTGACAAACGTAAATATTCCAGAAACAGGTTGACAGCAACCCGTTTCTGTACTGGTGCCAAGAAAATAACAAACACACCAGGAGTTCCTTTATGTATGGGGAACCTTTTTAAAGCCATTCTTTTTTTAAAAAAGAAATGCAATATGCAATGATGAGTGCAAGAAATGTACCCTTATCTCTGGTAGTAATCAGTGATGGGTTTCAAAATTTTTTACTACCGGTTCTATGGATATGGCTTGGTGGGCGTGGCATGGCTTGGTGGGCGTGGCTTGGTGGGCATGGCAGGGGAAGGATACTATAAAATCTCCATTCCCTCCCCAATCCAGGGGAAGGTTACTGCAAAATCCCCATTTCCTCCCGATCAGCTGGGACTTGGGAGGCAGAGAATAGATGGGGGCGGG